ATAGTGCATTTCTCTGGTGAAGAATTCGGTGTTCATTATTATTTTGTCATATTATGAGAAGTACGTCAATACTCAATAGCCTAAAATCTCGAACTTCATGATGAATTCTGATTGTTTGAGCACTCTGTCTTATGAATTTGCCCATAAACAATCGATGAATAATAACACATTTCTTACGATGTTACCCATAATGTCAAAAAAATTATAAAAGAAACTAACTAATACAGTCGCTGGCAGAATCAGACCGTGAAGCGAACGTCTCCGTTCCGTCGGGGCAAACTTTACACTTGTTGACCTGGCCAACCTGGTCCATGTACTGCATCATCGGGCAATTTGAACACTCCGTTCCGGACTGAACTGTTCCCTTCTGACATTGCACTGAAGTGGTTGTTGTTACAAACCGTTATCACTGACAGTGGCACGCCGTGCATTTATTTAAACAGACGGTAGAAAATAAGGCTGTAAATTACTTGAACTCTGAAGCCTACTGAATAGTGTATCTCTATATTATATTTTAAACTTGACGAAATCTTCCCGGCAACGGCATAAAAACAGTTAACTTTGGCCAAAAACCGACCTTTCGATGTTGACAATTTCAGCTCGAAAATACAGTTGAAAACTCGCGATTTTTAGCAACGTTGCAGAAAAATGAGATGTAGCTATTATTGTCATTTTAGAATTTTGATTTACAATCTAAAGCCTATAAATAGGCTTTAGATTTTTTATGGCCGGAAGAGTATATAATAAATATTATATACGGGAGAGACTTGAAGTTGCACAGCTCTAGGAGTACGTACCACATTTAGTGTTGTCAGCGGTACTAGTCCCGTACCCAGCTGGGCAGATGTTCTCCACACCTTTATCAGAGACCTCCTTTACCTTCCAGTCCACTGTCTCTTCTCTCTTTCTTCGCGAGACAGGCTTGAACTTCTGAAATAAGAGGAGAAGTTGTGATGAAATGATACTTTTTGGGATCTATGGTTATTCATGGCCACAGTCTAGAGCATTAAAGCTAATGTTAGCTAAATATTAAGAAGTATATAATTAGTTGTATCAATATAATACTTTAAACGCTTAAGTATTAAGATAATCTACGACATTATAAAACTTACGTCTTCGATCATTTTTTTGAATTCAGCAGCTTTCGTATCATAATCGGTGGGATATTCAGCAGTCGGGACTTTGACCTGCACATTTAAGATCGATAAATGACACCATATAAAACAACAACATGATTATCAGGACTTTCTCGAACAAAAATGACAGTGGGTATTCGAAATTTCCCTATTTTCATTATAAGCATCTTTCACTCTGCTTCTATACCTACATCCAGAAACATTCATGGTACCAAACTCCAAAGATAAAATGTCTAAACGACCAAAGCTTTTTTTTGGGCATAAGACCATTTTGGGGGAGGTACCGCCACTAGACTTGTACGAAATTTTAAACTTAGTGGATGCAGGATTCCACAAAACTGGGACAGTACCTCTATGTTAATGTCACAGGATTCAGCAGTAGTGGGAGTAGCGATGATAAAGTCGTACTGACACTTCGGGCAGGCTGAGGAGAGCAGGGCGGACAGAGCATTCTTCATGTTGTTCACGTGAACTTCCTGGAGACAGACAAATCAGGTGGACTGTGGTAACTATGGTATGTGGAGTGTGGTAACTATGGTAACTATGGTAACTATGGTAACTATGGTAACTATGGTGACTATGGTAACTATGGTAACTATGGTAACTATGGTAACTATGGTAACTATGGTAACTATGGTAACTATGGTAACTATGGTAACTATGGTATGTGGAGTGTGGATAAGCATTCTACAGCATTGTCAACTAGTAATACGGTTATATTGTGTGTTTTTAAAATGTATGTAGAGAGGCTATAACACACATAACCCCGGCATGCGCAGGGATTATATTTTAATTTTTCCCGCGACGCGCGGGAAAAATTTATAATAATTTCGAGTGCGAAGCACGAGGGATTATTATGAAAATAACCCCGACGTGCTTTAGCACGAGGGGTTATTTTAATATAACTTAAGCGTGCCGGTGTTATGTGTTATAAACCCCTCCGGGTTAGTGCTAGGACCAACAAATTTGACATTTTACTCTTAATTCTAGCTATATGAGATCATGATCAGTATGGAAAATATGAAATGGAATTGGGGACTACCAAATAAATACAACTAAGGTACTATGACATTTGAAATTGGCGTTATATCTAAACATTATTCCTCAGTCAGAACGTAGAATGAATATCGATAAGGGGCGTCGAGTTAAGCCTGGCAAGCGATAAAAGGTGGAGCTAATAATGATATCGTGTCATGATGATGAAGTTCATCAAAGTAGACGACTATCATACTGATACATGGCTTATATCATGTATCAAACACGACAAAATTAACCGGACAAAATCAAATGTAACCGTCGAGACAAGTTCTGGAACTGGTCCAATTAATGTAAGAGTATTAGTAATGTAAGCAGTGTACTGGAGTTTTGCCAGCGCCTGCAATTAGACCGATACGTAGATCAAGTGTATTTATAGTTCTTACGTCAAGCCAATAGGTCACGTGACATTTTTTACCAATGCGCGTCGTAGTAGTTAGTCACGTGATACACGTCATCAAAACACGTGACAGTGCGCGGTTGAAATTCTCATGGAATATCAAAACAAAACAAATCTTGTTGAGCCAAATTAGCGGGGCGGGATTATAGGAGCTGTGCCGGGGTTATTTATTCAGCGGGAAAAAACTAACAGCGGGAGCCGGGATTATCAGAATCTATTTAGCGGGAGCCGGGATTATCAGAATCTTATTCTAACCCGGAGGGGTTTATAAACTGTGTAGTCATTGATCGACTATCGGTCAGGAGACTCTAAATCAATGCTAAAAACTTTATGAGTTAAGTAACGTGATCAGTACCTGGCTTTCTACGCTGTTACAAACTAGCTCAGTCTTGAGAACAATGTCAAACTTCACATTAGACGGTGTATCTTGCTCTGAAAATGCTACATTAGCCGACAGAGAAATATATTTTGAATCAGCTCAATCGTCGAGACACAGCAACATCACCAATAATTCCAACCAAAGAAAATTAACTGGAGGGTGTTGTAGAAACAAGCAATTTGTTCTTTCAGAAACCTTCAAATAACATGCGTTAATGGCCTTCAGTTGCGAATACTAAAGTAAGTCTAACTAAACCAAGACTACACTCACTGACGCACTCCCCGATGGAACCGTCTGGGTTATTGGGGCCTACGTTGTCCCATATTCCCGTGGTCTGGCACGTGATCTTGGCGGGACTCTGACTGATATACTCGTACCCCTTGGCACACGCTACAGTCACAGTCAGAGGGTACGTTGTCGCAGCGAATGTGAAACTGTACTTAGGATCTCTCTGCTTTGCAACTATTTCTGTTGTATCACATTGTGCTGAGAGAAGTAATTTTGTAAGGGGAATTGAATAGGAAATTGAGGAAGAATTTGATTATATTTTTGAGGGAACATGTGATATAATTATACATCACAGCTGATTGCAGTGCAATAAAAATGTGAAATATAACAAGAATGTGAATACTCACGATTAACAGTGATATTAACAGAGGTGGAGAACGAGTTTGATTTTGTAACATCACTGTCCTCTGCCAGTAAAAGGGTACATTTGTATGTTCCAGCAGAATTAAAGTCCACTTTAGCAATAGTCACCTGGTAAAGTTATCAGGGTTACCAATCTACCGGCTCTAAGTATCTGAGAACATTTAGAACTAGTTAACTAGATTACTTTTATTTAGAACTAGTTAAAGCAAATAATTCTACTAAATTTTACCTCGACAGTACCGGTTTGTACTGTGTTAGGTATCTCCGTCTTCTTCTGTAAGCTCAGAGATGTTAGCGTTTCCTCGGAAGTGTTACACTTTATCGTGACACCGGTCTGACCGTCCCAGAACACAGTTTGAGGCGGGTTGACATACATCTCGGGTAAACCTGATTATTTACTCTTAATTTACTCATTTAATGATTTTTGTCGCGGAGTTTGGTGTTCCTGACAATAAAAGGAGGATATTTTTATATTACACAAGTTAAATGTTTCGAGAAACCATCAACAATGTTGATCACAAACCTTTCTTAACTTGCATGGTCGCCTTATCAGTGTCGGAGGATATAATGGAGGTCCCCTTGATAGGTGACACTCAGAGCTGAAGCTGTAGGACTGTAGCTGTACGACGCGTAGCAGTTTACTTTAGTGGTCTCTGTGATACTGGATAACATGACTGTTGAATCAGTTCCAACAGTTGTGGAGTTCGTGAGCTTCGTTTTCACGTCCCCGACTGTGTACTCCCTGTGAAATAAAACAAGTGTTACACGATGATATTATGTAATAAATATTGGTTGCACGATCACAAAGAAAGAAAAATATTATATTATAATAGTTATAAGAGAATTATAAGAGAAATTACCATTCAAAGGTTGTAGGGGGTGGTCCATTGACGGAGCAAGAAAAGGTCTGTGAATCTCCCGCGTAGGTCGTTATCGAACCTTTAGGGTTCATCGCGTTCATTGCTGAAAGATAACGTCATTAATGATTGAACGTCCGGCGGCCGACCCTGTAGTTGTAATCAATCTAATGATATTGTTTATGTATAATCTGTTCTATTTTGGTCATTTCTAACACTAACTATTTGTAAATGAAACTTCTATATTATCTAAGAGCTGACAGGAGAACTGACAATAAAACGAGATAACGTCATTAACATACATATCGTTTTGAACGTGGTTGTAATCCAATCCAGTTTCAAACTGGTCTCTTTATTCTGAACATAACATGTTACAGACAAGCCATCAATTGCAGCATCCACCCCAGACAGAGTCACCGTGACAGTATGCAGTGCCGGTAACTTCTTCTGATCTTCTGCAGTCTCAGGGTCCGTGACTAGTGTTATCTTATCGCTGTTCTTGTAATCATTGAGCTTGCCTGTCCAGCCTCCTTCCAAGAAGGTCACCTGATCGTGGGCCGTGTTGACGCTTCCAACACACTGAACTTTACTTCCGCCTTGTTACCTATTGTGACCCATACAGTTGGTGGAGCGGAGACAATGCCCGCTAGATTGAGTGTTGCTGCTGTTGTCACACTGAAAGGGAGGGCAGGGTGAAGATATGTGAGTGCTGAAAAATATCCACAGAAAAGGAATCATAAATATAGAAGGAAACCGAACAAAAAGGGAAACATTAATAAACACATAATATCACAGTGACAGTAATACGTCAAGATATGCGTACTCGAACAAAGCACAGACCTGCCAACATTGGGATACACAGCAGTGCAAACGTAGGACCCACTCTCAGCAGGGCTCATTTCCGCCATAGTCACTACGGACTTCTGCTCTGGAAAAATTTCGGAGTGAACTGGTGCACATTTAAAACGCAGGACCAACAATTATTTCCACTGTTACAGCTTAATTCTTAAATATTGTGAAGCAATAATGTAAACTCACTGCCGTCAGCTCTTGTGCTGGTAACGGTGGTGGCGGGTAACAACCCGGCTCCATCCAGGGACCAAGCGATCGTAGGTCGCTCGGTAACATCCATGTCGTCACTTGACTTGGTCTCACAAGTCATCGTCAGCTTTGCACCCCTGCCAAGTCCCGACGTGTCGGTTGGGTCCGTTATTATTGCTGTTATTGCGTCTGGGAAGATGCAGAGTTAATACTTCAATAAGAATGATACGTATTCTGAAGTTTTAAGAATTGGAGAAGAGTTTACGTAACGGTGTGGCTGAAACGACCGAGTGTGTAAAAGCTAAGGTTTAGGAATCTTAACATTTCACAACATATATCAGACCTTTCAATTCGACGAACTGTATTGCAACTGATTGTAACTTTACTGTGTCCAGATCCACAACAAAATGACCCGTTTTGGTGTTGTCAGCGGCCACAAACTGCTTCTTCAACGTCAACTTTACGTTATTTGATCCAAATACAGCCACCACTGCCAGCTTCTCCACAATTGCCTCAGCTTCTCCCGATTTCGGCCTGGTTTGGTTTGGTTTATTACATGACGTGTATTGTTATAATCGGAAAGCCATAAATGATGGATGATCATCCCTATCACTCACTTTTGCCAATTGCTATACCTGGCAGGCTAAAATCAAAATATTGATTGAACTGTGTAGGCCTTTGCTACGGCCTTGATTTATGATTGACCGAATAAAGGAACCGAGTAGCAGAAAAGTATAAGTTTGTTGGATTATTTTTAGGTAATAACGATACAAATTCCAAACAAACACCCACGTGATAAGATTGAAGTAAGATTCTTTAGGGAAGCTAGGTGTTTCAACGGTGGCGGTCAGTGTTCGCTCTTGCCCGTCGAGGAAGTAAGCATTTCCTGACAAGGTTGTCAAGGTCACAACTTCTAGACTTTTTGTCTCCTTTGATCTGAACTTGTATTGAGTTTCGTAGGTAGCTAGGCACCTGTACTCGCCAGTGTGTGCTGTGATACGTGTTATGGTCTTTAAACAGGTGTGAACTAACGCCTCCTTGGTTTCTCCTTCTCCCAGGGTCGGCTCCTTACACTCCTGAAAAGATGAATGGAGATTAGATTGCTATATAATATCAATGCCCTCAGCTGAATTACATAACGTAAAGGAATATCTGGATATTTGCAGTGGATTGCTACTGGATATCCAGAATGTTGTGCGACAATTTCCTGTTTGTAACTAATTATCTCACCCCAATTCCAGCACCAGCTACGTCAACCCATGTGCCATCGGAGGTTCTCTTTTCCAGTGAAACGACCGGAGTTTTACCACTCTTAAACTGACACGTGATAGTCTCCGAAGCACCAGCGTTTTCAATTACAACAGAGTTGGATATGTTCATGAACGTGCCTGTGGAGGGTGAGTTAATAAATATGATCAGCTGATAACGGAGGGTGCTGTGTTTACAGAAATATTGTTTTGTCAGTTTTAATTTGACCTGACTTGTAGGTGCCTCTTTCAGAGGCAGAACCACTTTGACACAGCTAATTGTTTAGAAATGTTTTCGTACAAAGTTACCAGAAAGTAGCCAGAAATAAACATTTCTCACCAATAACATCGACATAAGTCTCCTTGGAAGTGAGCTCCTTGTTCTCCTCTCCCTGCGAATACTCCACCTCTACATAATACTCCCCTCTATTGTCCTTGCCAGCGTTAGTTATGGTTACAGTGCTGAACGCTTCAAGCGTCGCTTCACTGTAGCTGTCCTTGATTGTGATCCCACCGACCCCATCAGTTATAGCAACACCGTCTTTCTTTTCCTCTTCTTTCGTTCCTTCGTCTGGAAATTAACAATGATATTTTTTGATAAATGTACTCATTTGCAATTGGAAGTTTATTTGTTCAATTTGGTATATGTATGTATGTTTATTATATTCAATGCCTATATCTAGTCTTATATTTTCAAAATTTAGTAAATAATAGTGTTGACATTCGACTAAAATGTCAAGAAACAAATGATATAAAATGTTAAGAAGTATCATGCTCATACCCTTTCTAAAAGACCAGGCGACGGATTTTGGCTCATTAGGACCCTTGGTGATAACACTGAGTGTCACTGCTGATCCCTCCCCATTGTAAGAGCTAGTCAACAGATCCATCTGGAAGCTCACAATGTACAGTTCTCCGATCTCCGAGTCAAAGTTGGTGGAGTAGGTTGCTGTCCCGTTCTGGTAGACGTACGTGACTTGGCACTTGTAAAAGCCTGTGTCGTCCGCTATAAGTCTTAAAAATTCAACGGTTGAGAGGGATGTGAGCGCGGGAGGGTCGTAATTAACATCGCTCAGAGACACCCTGTGAAGATTAAAGTTTGGGGTATTGGAGTTTGTAATAAATATCGGAGTATTAAAAGTAGAATTAGGGTAGAATGAATCCCACGAAATTAACGTTGAACTTATCTCCCGATCTCACGTACCTGCCAGATTCTCCATTGAACAGTTTATAAGATTTCCCTTGGTCCTCCGACTTGTACCAGTTAACTAAGGTTGCCTTGTTGTTTCCCTTGAATTTACAGGATATTGTGGCATCGTTTTCCTCTTTGAAGAAACTACTCGTCGGACTTGCCAATCTCTCTGAAGAACAAAGATTTATATTTTTATTGTTTGGATTTTCGATAGTAAAGAAAAACGTTTTGATCCGTAGAACATCCCTCAAAATAGTCATTGTACCATAATTCCAGCTCAAAAAGCACAAAAAGGGTGTAAAATAACGATTAAAAAAGTCAAAATAACTGGATAACTAACGGATAACGTAAACTGTAGCAACGTCAGTTTGTAACACTGTCTCGCTGGAGCCAGTGGTAGGGTTCGTTTTGGTGTAAGTTACACGACAAATATAGTCCTTCTCATCAGACACTGTCGTCTCTGTAGTTATCATGTGATTATTTAAAAAATAAGATTATAGTTCTTAAATGTGACAGTTGTTCATTTTTAATTTCCTTCGGTGAGAGAGCAAGTCTACTGAGATGATATTAAAAATAAGCTATAAAATTATGCTGTACCAGCAATGCTCAGAATGGATCTTGAGCTTCCAGTGCCCTCCTTTTTAATGGCGCTGGCTGTGAACCGATCTCCTGAAACCTTACTCCAAGGGTCACCCTCCGTGGACGCGTCCCCAGAGAAAAACTCCATTTTTGTGGGGGTCTCAGCACCATCGTAGGAGCAGGTTAGTAACGAGGTTTGTCCTTTCAGACCAAATACTGATGCTAACCTTTCGTCTGAAGATTACGGTATGTTTTCAACATTTTTGTGAAAGTTTAAACATTATGATGAAATACCCAACGATTATGTTAAATCTCGAGAATTTCAGACGTCAGTTTTCTCTCATTTATTCTGTATTACCCTTCCTAAAAGCACCTGTTACAAGTTCCAGACAGTACTCAGTTTTTAGAGTTGCTCAAAAACAGAAAAGTTAAACTAATTCACCCAATAAGAGGGTATACTTACATTTGATAATGATGTTGATAGGGTTGGTTTCAACCTCGAAAGCAATATCACCAGTCCTATAAATCCCTACAGCCCTATAGTCCTTCTCATCGTCACTGTTCACATCATTCACGACTAGAGTCGAAGCACTGGTCTTTTCGTCTGTGTCGTATTGTATAGCGCTAGTGGTGAGCTTAAAATTATCTATAGCCAGATCCTTCCAGTCGGAGGCTTCAACGGTGGTGGTTTTAGGAGTACGACTCTGCCAGGTGACGATTTGGGCGGGGGCGTCTCCCTTGTAGACCGCAGTGATGGTGACATCTTCTCCTACCCCAACGTGTTGTGATGTAGGCTGTTGTAGCAGACCTGAATTTAATCATCATGAGAAATAGTATTCAACAATTATCAAACTGCGCTCGTAGTTGTGGCTCCTTTATCGGCATGTCGTCGCACTTCGGAGATCATACAAATGCTCGACGAAATGAATAAAAGTGGAGGATATAATGAAGATTTCAGTTATCAAATATTCATATGAAAGGCTCACCAAGGATAACAACGGACTCATCGTGAGACACGGTCTGTCCGGCTGATAACGCTCCTTCCTTTTCCTCGTAGGTTCCGATACATTGATACTTTCCGGCGTTCCCCAGCTGTGCTTTCTCGACAACATAATTATATTGTGTCACTGTCAGTTCATCTTTCTTGCCTTCTTTTGTTTCAGTAAAAGCTGAAATGATTCTGCTCAGAGAGTTTCCAAGACAACAAATTTGGTAGATTAAATCAAAAAATCAGTTAAGATAACATAAAGAGTGCAAAATTAATATTGTTCTAAACAACGAATAATTCTGGAGTCGTATCCTGATGATTACTGATTAACGAGTTTATTTTCTGGAGACGGCTCAGTGAGAAGCAGAATATGTATTAGGTTGAAATGAAAACGGAAATTTTAATAACAACACTTTCCAGAATCCAGGGACTGACAGTAGACACCCCCATATTCACTTGTATTTCAGAGATCAGTATTACCTGGGTAAGTGACCGCTTTTGTGTCCGTTGAAAGGAACTTTAACTTTACTGCCGGGTTGAACCTCTTTTGAATGGAACACATCAGCTCGAGCTTAGTATCATATACTATCTTAGTGAACTTGAGCTGATCTTCAAACTCTGGGGATTGGGGAACACGGTTAGCTCATGTGTAATTATTATAATCGTTTTGTTAAACCACTTGCTGTATGATGTTAAATAATAAATATCGAGATCACCAAGACTTCGACTTGACCGTCACTTTTGCAGTTTAATAGAATCTCATTTACGACTGACAGATTGGTGTTGAAATATTTAAAGCGATTAAAAGTGTCTTACTGAGGACAGTTAGATTGCCGGGCACACCGCTCAACTCAAAGGAACCATATTGCGGTTTACACTGGTAGGAACCCTCCATGGTGGACTTTATATTGTTCAGAGTAAGTGTCGACACTGTCACTCCATCACTATCTGCCTCTTGAGTCACCTAAAAACATTTCGTTCAGAAATACACTTAAACCCCGCTTTACTGCAGAGGGTGCAGAGTTTGCGGGAATTAAAATTAGCCGCGTTCGGGGTTTTATTGTATATTGGCATGTACACCTACAGGCAGGATTGGATGAAATAAAAACAACCCGAGGTTCATTTTTGAGGAATCCATAAAGTATAAAACTTGATGTGCACTATGTGCTACAAATGTTTTTCTAACTCACAATCTTGTAGTTGTCATCATCTGCTACTCCCTGCCCGTTTGCTATCCAGTCGTATTTAGCAGAGCCTACTCCCTGTGATTTACAGGTGAAGGCTGCTCCTGAGTTGATGAAGGAGATACTATTTTTGGGCTGACCATCCGCAACCCAACCTGAGATGGTAGTGCACAGTTATGTAGTGCACAGTTATGTAGTGCACAGTTATGTAGTGCACATTTATGTAGTGCACATTTATGTAGTGCACAGTTATGTAGTGCACAGTTATGTAGTGCACAGTTATGTAGTGCACAGTTATGTAGTGCACAGTTATGTAGTGCACAGTTATGTAGTGCACAGTTATATAGTGCACAGTTATGTAGTGCACAGTTATGTAGTGCACAGTTATGTAGTGCACAGTTATGTAGTGCACAGTTATGTAGTGCACAGTTATGTAGTGCACAGTTATGTAGTGCACAGTTATGTAGTGCACAGTTATATAGTGCACAGTTATGTAGTGCACAGTTATGTAGTGCACAGTTATATAGTACACAGTTATATAGTGCACAGTTATGTAGTGCACAGTTATGTAGTGCACAGTTATGTAGTGCACAGTTATGTAGTGCACAGTTATGTAGTGCACAGTTATGTAGATGTATCCATAGAGCCAGTTCAAAATGTTTTGAAGTAAAATTTCCCTTATAATTTATATCAGAGGAGTTAGGCAGTGCTGCGGCGTGTTGAATTTTCGTCAATTATAGAACACCGTATAACCATGTGTCTGCCTTGTGCATGCACTCCTGAAACTCACCAACAACAGATATAGTGATGTTCTCAGATACGATGTCTCCGAATGTGCCGTACGTGACCACCATTGAGTAGGTGCCAGAAGCCGCATAGGTCGCGGTTATAGACCACTCAACGTCAATATCGTACTGAGAAAATCATGTAATATATTTGCTTTATACGTTCATAAGAAATTGAATCAAATAACCCCTACATCGAACATAACTTGACTAAATAGACACAGAAAACTTGATAAAAAGTAAGATGAGGCAGTGATGGTACCTGGCGCGTTGTGGTCACTTTAGCTGCAATTTCCTCTCCTCCTTTCTCCGACACCTTAGCTGTAATCCAAGTCGTGTCATCTTTCACAGAGCCAATTTTAGTCAACTGAAGTAAATAGACTTAGCTATGTCGAGCTCAAATTGCTTAATTTTAACCTATTACTGCTATGCTGAAATTATTGAAAAGCGAAGATACTCACCTGACAAAATGACCTAAGCGTGTAGGCAGTAAAATACAGTGTAAAATCAGATAATATCTACTGGTTACAAATCACAGCATTCTTTTCATAATGACTAGAGTTGTTGCATCTCGTAAGAAAAGAAGGATGAAACTGAAATCTCCTTTGTGAACTTACTGCCGCCATTAGTGTTATAGTATCCCCAATAGAATAGGTGCCTCCAGATGGCTGAACCTTGTACGCTGAGACATTTACTCGATTATCATATCAGTTAACGGATAATGGGTTGGCAATAAGTGAATGAAAAAGTTCGAATTGTGGAAGTATATTTGCAACAGGCGTACGTGTATGAAGAAACTCAAAGAACTATAATCAACTTACAAATTTCTGAAAATTGGCCGACATCAGAGGTGATCAAGGTTTTCACTTGCTGAAACGTTACAGAACATGTGTACCGTCCAAAGTTATCTTTCGAAGTGGAGGCAATCTGAGTGAAATAATTTATTGTTGAAAAACAGATCAAGGACGTTTTATTTAATACAAATCACAAAAGCACTATTACAAAGTAATAGTAGTTTTCAGGGGATGTTAGAGGTAAGAATATCATGCAATATCTCCAAACCTCGTATTTATGGACTTCGCTGAAGCCAGCAGAAGTTTCCGTTTCACCGTCTATTACACCTATTTTCTCGTCGTTTGGATCGTTCAAATCCTTGCTGAAAATATAAATATCAAAAAAATGTATAGAAAAAAAAAAAAAATATTGTAAAAATTCACTGATATCAGAAATCAGCCACTATGTAAAATAAAACAGACCACATTCTATGAAACTCACAATGTAACTTTTTCTACCGCGTTGCCCGACACACTTCCAGCATCAACTTCACATCGCAGAATGCTTTTTGCTCCTTGTATACCGTACGTTTCCAAAAAGTGGGCACCTGATCGAATGTTAGATGTTGTAATGTCAATAATTTGACCTGACCTATGTGACCTATGTTGAGTTTCATCAAGACTTGACGGGGCCATCACATCTTCTGATCACCCCATCTTTTCGAGGGTTTATATGTATTGAAATATAAGTAAACATTAAATAAATATCAAATTAATAAATATAAAAATAAGTTAAATTGGACTAACGGGTGACGTGGAGTGATCCTGATTTGTCAGCAATGATGTCGATTAATGGTGTTTCCCAATGTGCCCCGCATTTGTACGGTACCTGTGTTTGAAGTGAAGTTGGTGAAATTTATTGATTACCTTTTTTCTTCGCATAAATTTCTAAGCTACCGAATACTGAATAGTATTTTCACCTGTAACGAAAACTCAAAATCCTCGAATAAACGGCAAGAGCAAGTGGCGATAAAGTGACCCAATTTATTTTTCATTTGATAATTCTATACTACTCGATCAATATTCATTAATCAACCTCCAATTTGTCGGCTGCTTTAGTGGCATCACCCTCGGCATCCGCTGTCAAGCCATTCACAGTCAAGAAAGATGAGAAAGTTTGTTTGTCCTCGTCGTATAGTCCGTCAGATATGACGAACTTCCCCCCTGGAAACATAAGAGTTGCTCAAAACGATCTTTCTTCATAATGTTGGCAAATAATCTTAATCAAATGGCAGATGCCAAAATGTTGTGTTTAGAAAAATTATATGATTTCCTTAAACTTTCATTAGAATTCTCCAAGGGTTAGACAAAATCAAATACATAAAATGTACCTGTAGTGATGACATCGTCCTTGTTATCAACGAACTTGTACCACTTCATCTGGTTGGGTTTGTCACCACCAGTGGAGCATGTGAAGGTGACTGACTGTCCAAAGCCAGCCCAGGTCTCCACTGGCCCCGCAGTTATTGCTGAACAAAGTTAATTGTCAGGGCACATAATGTATTTATAACATAACATTTAGATCTAACATTTCTTAGATCAACCATTTTAACCCTTTAAGTATCATTTTAGTATCATTTTAGTATCCTCGAAATAAATCTGAGTGGTAGAAAAAGAGGAAGGGTCCCAAAACAACAATCTTAGTTCTCACTTCTGACGAAAAGTGTAGCTTCTGTGCTGGTGACTTTAGTTTTAGCGTCGTCAGCGTACTGAGCTTCACAATAGTACTGTCCTGTCAAAATATACTGTAAAATTCAATTGATTTACTTACTAACTTTAGACGACATTTTGTCGAAATATTATATACATATTATTCCTACCTATTCCTATATCTGATTATGAATTCAGATTATGTTATCGGATAAATTTAAATTTTACTTATTATTTTTTAACTGCAAAAGATACTGTATTTATAGTATGTGTCATTTAAAAATCCCAAATCCGAAAAAAAACAACCCTTCACCTTTGTCAGCGACTTCAACTTTCAACAGAACCAACACAGAGAGAGTGGAATCAGTTTTCTCAGTAGCAGTGATCGTCCTTTTCTCGGCCTCCGCAACCAAAACATTCTCAACGTCGGTATCCTTAAACCAAGACACAGTCGGAACAAACTCCGCGTTTTTGGTGACATCACAAGAGAAGGTTGCCGCAGCACCAGCCTTTACATTAGTATCAGTTGGAGCTGACAAGACACCAACGTCTAGCACTCTGCGGTGAGATGAAGTAGATATTTAACAGATCTATACAGTGTATGGTCATGAAAATCTTGAAAATCCAATCGAATAATACATCGAATAATAATGTACTAAAAGCTTGAAATTCACAGGTCAGCAGGCAGTTTGAGTAGATTTTTTAAATTATCATCTGTTTTTAACAGTCAGAACTCAGTATTGACTCAAAAACTTTTGAATGAAACAGAACGAACAAATAAACTCACTCAAGTACAATGTCTTTAGAAGTGACATAACCGGCACTGTAGAGCCCCTTGCAGAAGTAATTACCGCTCAAGTCCTCTGTAGCACTGCTCCAAGTTACTGTACTCGTTGTTTCAAGCTTGGTGGAAGAGTATTTGGTCGAGTAAAGCTTGCTATCTACTGTAGTGTCTGTTTCACCGGTCTTTTTGTACCACCTAATCCAGGTGGCCTGAGCGTCTCCTTTGATCCTGCAGGTGAGCTTAGCCTCCTGGAGCTTCCTAGCGTATGTCTTCACGGACACCTCGGTTACTCCAACCATAATGATATTTTTGATACCCCCAATAAGAGTACCTCCAGCAAAGGCGAACTGTCCAATAGTATGGGGATTGTAGGTCATGTTACACTGGTACTGGCCAGTGTAATCCAAGCTATCTGCTGTCCAGGTGATCGTGAATTGTCTGTACCGTGCAGAACCCTCTGTTATTGTTTCACCTTTGCTTGTGTATTTGTTCAAAAATTGTTCCCCGTTGTGAAGCCAGGAAGCTTCGGGAATAACTTCAGTTTGGTACTGTGGAGCTGAGCAGGTTAAGGTGATCACTGAACCCAGAATGTAGTTTTGTGATTTGGGAGAAATGTGGAAATCTGAAAGAGAATGGTTATAGAAATGTCAAGTGGACACGGCTTTTCATTCTCATGACGTTTTGAAACTATCTTTTATTCCTCAATAACTTGGATTTTGGAAGTCGATTATCATTATTATCGATCATATCAAATTGGGAAGATTTCACATTTCAGTTTCTCTACCATAAAGATGAAGAGTAATCTCTTGGGATTTCTTGCGTTGTTTGTCAAGATCAGAGAAGTACGAGCACTGGTATTTCCCAACGTCGCTGGGGTTGAGATTGGAGATGGCCAGTTGACTGGTCACCAACTGATCGGCGTATGAGGTGGTTGTCTTGCTGTTTGAGGAGCTGAGTTTGGTGTCGTTTTTGTACCTGAATTAGGCCATTAAGTTAGTAAGATACTGAGCCAGGGGATTTAATTTATATTTTCAGCCATATTTTATGTACATTTTGTCTTTTTAATGTACATTTTGTCTATGTCTGCCGAAGAGATTGCCCGGTAGATTTTGGAGCATGTCAGGATGTAGCAGAGTATAATTTAGATATGTAAGAAGGTTGTTATATTGCCATAATTTTTGATACTGGCGAAAACTCGTGGAATGAAATACTCAAAAACGTAATGGATCAATATTGAATTGAAAAAACAAATGAAAACTTAAAAAATATTGAATATACATACCAATCAACAGCTGTGGTGCTTTGTTTTTCTATAACACAAACAAGTGTGACAGTAGTACCCTTAACTCCGTAAGCATCCTTTGTCATGGCAGAATTCTTGATGCCCTCAACAAAAAGATTCGATGGCGAAGAGGTAACATAACCAACCGATCCATATTGCACTTTAACCTGATGAATAATTTTGGTTTTTGGACATTTCGACACCCATATCGTTGTATCAAGCAGCCAATTTCATAACCTATGAAAAGTATTACTTTAAAAAAATACCTCGTAGGTGCCATGATCTGAGAGTGAGAGATTGTTGATAACTAACGTATATTTCCACGCTGGTATTCCTAGGTATTCATCTGACTCCCTCTGAAGTTATGAATTAATTAATTAATTAATTAATTAATTTACAAATTTAAACCCCTGAAATGCTATATAAAATGAGCGCTTACGTCTTAAAACACCCTACTATGGGATGTTTAATCTTTGGCAAAAAGTGTAAATATGGTTAGGCACCAAAGGCTTGCTCAAATGTCACAATAAAGGCTTAATACAAGTTATTGAAAAATCACGCCCCCCCCCCCCGACCCTCAACTTATAAACTGACCGTCTCCTTGATCCGAGCATCGTCCGCCCATGTTCGCTTAATTCCACCCACAGACCACTCCGTAGTAGGTTCCGCTCCGTTAACCACATTGAGAGCTCGAGAGGCGTACAAGACAAAGGTAGCAGTGCCACCCAATACTCGGGTAATGCTGTCTGCAGGTGCTAGGATCCCTGTAATGGAATAACATGTTGGTCACAACACTTAGGGAGAGTATGGAAAATCAAAGAAAACACAAACTTCAGTGATACTGACGTTGAGCTTTTAAAATTAATATAGCAATCCTTTATACGGGAGCAATATCTACGTTATTAATACTCACTCATCTGTTGAAGTTCCACAGTTTTGGAGTTAGCTTGGACTGTGAAGCCGTCCCAGGCAGCTTGACAAGAGTAGAAGGAAAAGTCGAATGTATCAGCTTTTTTTATGACGTATTTGCTGACTGCTGATTTGGTTGACGTCTGCAAGGAGGGATTAAAATAAAATGAAATTGTTTATGCTAATATCGGTGGCATAGAACATCGCTGTGTCATAATTAAATCCAAATAACAAATAAAATTGTATAGTATTGTGTAGTATTGTGTAGTATTTTTCCCTATATTTCATATTTTACAATTCCCCATTTAAAATTTCTAGCTATCGTTTTTGATGTTCCTCCTCCTCTAAGTCTTATTAGTAACACGTAAAAAAGCAGTCTGTTGACTATCAGACAAAAACCACATTTTCCTAACCTCGTATTTAGGTTTCTCAGGCTGGTCTGGTAGGTAATTTCCCTGCCTGTACCACGAAATAGCATCAGGGTCACTGATCGCATTAACATTGCAGGTCATAGTGGCTGTACTGTCTAGAACTCCAATAGCAGGCTTCAACTCTATACCATACAACGACCAGAAAGCTTTATTGGAGCTAATCTGAGTTGTGGTTGAAGTGGTCCAGAATGCGGTGCAATAGTATTCACCAGAGTCAGTTGCAATGGTCGGGTTTGTGTAAGCCAGCACTCCAAAACTTGTTTGTTTGCTTTCGTCATATCTGGGGGTTGAGGAATTTGCATTATTATTGCGAGAATTAAAAGGCCCAGAGGTAACATGTAGGTGCGGTAATATTTTGCAAATAGCGATTCTGCACCTGCAAAATATACATTAACAGTAAACCTTTTTTATGTGCGGCAAATTCGGAGAAAAATAACACCGCAATTAAGTTGAACAATTTGTAGTCTTTAATTACTCTCAGGTTGGATTATTCAACTGCCTTTTAAACAGCTAATTACAACACTACAAATCTATTACATTTATTGAAGACGCTACAGAAGGAGTTTATTTAATGTAGTACGTTCTAATCCTTCTTGCGCTTTAAAATGGCGCGTTTGTCTTGTCTCGTAATATGTATGGTTATTGTCTGGCATAATATATAATAATACATATTATATAAGGGTCTATAATAATTTTTATAAGGGTATATAATAATATGTAAGGTATTTGATTCCTGGAAATTTAAGATGTGTATATCTTTATAATTTCCCTCATAGAAGGTTTTACAATGGGCAGAATTTATAACTAGGGCAGTATTCATATCAATATTGTTTGATAATATAAGGACACATACCCGGAGACAGATTGGATGATTATTGAGGAATCTGTGAGTTGAGTGTTCCCTGTGGCAGCCACCTTCGTCCATACCACCTGCAGACAAGTAGCTCGTATTATTAACCTCCCGTTATAAGAACCACGGTGTAAAAATTAGTAAGAGTTTGAATTATTGGAAATTATTGCACAAACGTCAAAGTTCTGAGCTATTTTTTTCATCCACTCTCGTTGGTTTCTAGTACCATATCGTGCAATGTTCAGCCAAACAGCCGTAACAATCCCTACCTTTTCAGGTTTGTCTCCCCCGATGGTACAAGAAATAGTGGACTTCTCGCCCACAACACCGTAAGAGTTGACAGGATCTTTACTAATACCCCGTATGAACAAGGTCGCTCTAAGACTGGGGATAACCCCAACACTCACGCGCGTGTACCGAACTTTGCAGAAATAAACACCAGCATCTCCAAATGTCACCTGAGTTAAATGAGCTGTTAACGGTTATTTTCTAAATCACTTGGTGGAATAACCAATGATTTTGATCAGACAGTTATAAGAGGCTGTCAAAGAAGTTAAGAAGTAAGAGATGAGGAAGTCGGAAAACTGCGAACCCTTACGCGGGACAGGGATGTATGGAGGGGGTTATCTGGCGTAGATCGGACTTAGTTCCGACCTAGTATTAGCAGTGAATAGTGATAAGAATGATAACTTAACTGAGATTGTAAAAATAACTTAAGCTGAGAAGTGGGAGGCTTCTCAGACCACTCAAACGAACTCTGACACTCCCAGAGGAACGTTTTCTTACTTTAGAAATGGTCATTGTAGTCGTCCTGTTTCCACTTGTTTTCTTATCGTCTGCAATTCCGGTAGTGATAACGGTGGAGGACCCCTCCTTGAACCATGTGATTGACGAAATTGCCTGGAAACAGTTAGTAGGTTGATAATGATTGGTTAATGGTTATTAATAACTCACTAATTACTAACCACTATAATTATAGGGATGTAAAATTAGTTTTAAAAATATATGGATACTCATTACTCCCACAATGATCGTTATTATCTAACTCAAGAGTGGGTGAACGTACTTCGCCTTGAGGAGCAGTAGCAACGCAGGAGAACACGGCGTTAGATCCCAGAGTCACGTACTGATTTTCTGGGTTCTTCTCCACTCCAACATCTAAACATGGTAAATTGAGTCAGTGATCGGTACTGTTGTCACCTGCTTAGTGGTCATTGTTTAAGTTTTCCCACGCTTGATAAGCTAACAGTTCAGTTTACAAGTTTATAAATGTGCAGTCAACCTTCTTATGTATTGACTATTGTTATAGTGCATACTAAACACTATAACAATACAATACATATATATACATAGTATCAGTGTGACTCGATGATTATAAAGTCTAAATATGTTGTAATTTACCTCGCTCATTCGGTTTCAAGTCAAGGCCCAGAAAAATTGCGGCCACAACAAAAACGAACCCCATAGCAACCACTGTGGCACAAACCCCCTTGGGAGTGATGACACCCATGGTTCAACAAGTTAAAAACAATAAAAACTTCAATAAATTACTACCAATAATTTAGTCTACAGCATATGGTGAAATTACAATTTCGCCAAAATACCATAGTATAGCCAAATGAGGAAGTTGGAAAAGTCTTCAAGTGAACATCTTACAATAAACCCTGGATCTTTCAGCTTTATACTTGTTTAGTTATTGTCATTACATTTGTCATGCTAACTTTTCGGTTTCTATCGCTTAATAACCACCATCGTTCAATCCTTCACATTTAAACGCTACCTTACTGCTTACAAACGAAAAACGAGAGAAGAAGCCCAACTACAGGACTGCACAAATGTCACATACCTCTGATGAGAAGCACAGCATCGTTGGAATACACCTCGTTATCCCCCGTTTTGTTTACTCCCCAGTAAGCTTGGCACTTGTAGGTCCCGCTGCTGAAATCTGAAGCGGACGGGAAATGTAGCGTGTTTGTTGTCTTCTTCCATGTGTCATCGTACGTTATTGCCTCTAAACCAGAGCTCGCCTGTGGAACAGAATGAAGGTTAAGATGTCTCACAAGTTACACTGCAGAATGGTTGCAAAAAGTATTGTCCTCATCAAGCTGTCACCAATAAAACAGTCAGTTATCCATCAAGTGGATAAGATGGAAATGATAGGCTACCTGAAAGAAATCACTTACTCTCGTTCCGTTGACGAACCAAGTGATGGTAGCCATCTGATCTCCGATTGCTACGCACGATATCGACACAGTCGCTCCAATCTTAGCGTACGTGCTCACAGGATCCTCCAGGAAACCTTAAAGACAACGCGAAATTACAAGTGAGTCTTTGAAACATATGCTGCCCACAGCCCACACTCCACACCGTGTTATATTTTACACAACAATCATCAAGCACTTTTCCTTATAACTTTAATTTAGTTTAAACGTTCTGTTCTAGTAAAACGCCAATTAAATAAAATTCAGTTTTATGATGTCACTTGAATTATAGACCCTGTTTGAAGACACATACCTCTGACATAGAGGTAGACTATGTTGGATTTGTGTGTGTCCGGCTGGTTACCAATGTACGTTCCCTTACACTGATACGGTCCCCAGTCATCTACACTGACTGATTTTATCTTGTATTTGCTTATCAGGGGTTGACCGCTAGTACCTGTTATTTTAAAGTAAATTAAAAGGTTTTGAAAATAATTCCGTCCCAGTCATGTTATCATGAGTGAAGCTATATAGATTTTGTGTGGTCTGAATATGTCATGTGTCTTTGAATGCATTTACAGAAACCCTTTGCATGAACAGTCTAGCTACTCAGAATTAAGTAAACCGATAAAATAAAGTTAATTATTAATAAGTAGTAGTAGTAAGGGTTAACTCTGGTTTACCAGATTCGATGCCGTTGGTGAACTTAGAGCCGTTATGTGCGTAGAACCAGTTAACCTCAGGGTTACCAGTAAATGCGTCAGGACTATCTGCTACACAATGCAGTGTTACTGGTTTACCCACCATTACTGGATCCGGCTGATTCAAGTTTACTCCTGAGATAGGGTGAGTCAAATCAGGGGCTTCAGCGGAGAGAAGTTAGCGTGAAATGGAGAACAATTGTGATGGTCTGTCACAGAGAATCTTCTAATTTAAAGAAATCCAAACGAGCTAAAACTTTTGTTGGTCCTGGTTACTTACCCCTGAGATGTCAGTATAAGTATTTATGACATACTTATACCTATACCAAATACAATTATAAGTATATAACATACCTATACCAAATATAATTATAAGTATATAACATACCTATAGCAGTATATAACATACCTATAGCAGTATATAACATACCTATAGCAGTATATAACATACCTATAGCAGTATATATAACATACCTATAGCAGTATTTAACGTACCTATAGCAGTATATAACGTACCTATAGCAGTATATATAACATACCTATAACACTGATCATGATATGGTTACTGCTCCACTCGTCACCAAGACCACAGAAATAGTGCCCATCGTGGTACTCAGAGTTCAGGTTCAGTAACGTTAGTGTCACGTTATAGACTACATATTGGTCCTGTAAAATCATTCGTGTGATTGGGAAAATGCTACCTACAATCTACCGCACCTTTACAATATACCTTTACAATACACCTTTACAATACACCTTTACAAGATACCTTTACTCTGCCTGAGTGAAAATGTTCGGGGAAAGGATTTTGTTGTCATAAACATTTCAGCTATAGATTTATAACAGTTGCACCATGTAACTACTACACTTGATTTATATAACGTAGAACTAGTCTTAACTAACAGTTATAGTCATACTCGTCTATTTATTCACTGTCTATAATTCACTGAGCACTTAGCCACCTAGGAAAAGCTAGTTTTCCACGTACAATATTGATGTGGTTACACAGAATTCTTCTATCACACAATTCTCCGATACATGTTAATAATAACACACCTCACGATGTTAGTTTATTTGGTGGCACACACAGCAAACTATATATAGTTTGTATATATAACAGTTATATATAACAGCTGTATAACAACATCAGCTGTATAACAACATCACATACGCACCTCTTCTTTAAGAGTTTGACGAAGGTCCAACTGGGTGTTGTACGTGTCTACCACGACAGGACCGAAAATGTAGTTCTTTGAGGCATTTGGTCTAGTTTGAGCGTGAAGCCAATCATCTTTACCAAAAGCATTACTGAGATGATATCCAATTAGAAAATGTTGGTATTTAAGAGATTTTTGTAGGGTTATATTAATTAGATAGTAATTTGGAGAGATTTGTAACAAATCAATTCGCTTTGTATTTGTGTATAATAATGTAAGTTAACGTACGGTTTGCGGTAAGAGAAAAGGCCGGACGTACTCGCTGGCTGCGAGCCTGAAATGTTTTTCTCTGCATCCTACAAGATATCGTTGCGTTATCTCCCTCGTAGACCAATGCCTTGCCTTGCGCAGTCACGTCTGTGATGATAGTCTACTTTTAGTCACGTGAAAATTACATTTTATTATGTGGAAAGAGTGCAGTGAAAAAGTGAGGGTTGAACTATGGATATTGTTTTTTGAAATGCAGTTTCAGCTATAACAAGTACAATATTATTCAGTTATTAAATTTGGAAAAATTTAAATTACATTTTTTACGACCCAGATTTATGTATTTAAAGTTTAACGCCTAGATTAACACATCAACTGACATGAGCACTGATGCTTGGGAAGCGAAGAGGCACAAGCGACTGTCGCATGTCTCGCATAATCGATGGAATAGTACTCGTTACACGATAGAGATATCGGTGTTCCCTCTTCCACCTGTAGGAAATATATCGTCGACATTTTGTTTTTATCTACTGTTATGAAATTGCTAAACTGTTAAATAAAACATTGTAGATGATACAAATCCTGAAATCCATAACATCAAGAACGCTTGATCTTGCGGGAGAAAATCTAATGTGGTTCAAAATCACCAGCAACTAGATTTGGATGGCCGATGCTCATGTTAATTAACATTAAAGTGTCCTAAATTCTTTGATGTTAGAACAAGATATCCTACCTCATAACCGGAGGGAGGGTAGGATACACCAAAGTAGATGGGTGGCACAGTACATATCTTGACACACTGTTCCTTGGAAGTGGAACCTATACCAAGAGTTTGGGTACCATCAGGGCACTTTTGACAGAACGTTTGTGCAGCTATGTCTTGGAACTCGTTCTTTGGGCAGATCTCACATGTTTTCCCGTTGCTGTACCACCCTTTCGAGCAGGACACTGCAAAGTTCATTAAATTGTAAAACATTTTTGGGACTGGGGAAAGGGGACGGAATTTTGTGAGGCTTACCGAACATTAGGCCCCCAGTTTATTCACAGCAGAGGAACAGAAGATTTCAGTACACTTACCGCATTCAATACTGCTGTGAGGAATTGATCCGTTAGAACAAGTAGCTAGTCCAACAGTAGCTGATATAGCAGGCGTCTTCAGTGTGACTTCGTTTACCACGAAGTTTGAGTCCCTGTGGATGATGGTTACCGTTAGAACGAAAAATTTAGTCTTCCATAAATTTAGTTATAATTTTGACAAAAATTGTTGTAACCCAAACTTATTGAGGCTAAATTTTTCGGCGACTAATTTAAAAGCAGACCAAAGTTTCAGTAGAGCGTATATGGATTTACGTACTCTAGTTCGACACGCAATATAGTTTGACAATTTAAGTTCGCCAGATGTCACCCCTGTCGAACTTCGGTACGTGTCGAACTGGAGTCCAGGTAGCGTACTCTAGTTCGACAAATAATTTCTGCTTGTAATCCAACGGCTATTGCCGGGTCCTCATCATAGTATCACAGGGTTCAATGGCAGATAACAAATTTTCTGACATCTAGCAATAGGGCCTGTCATGATATCAGGGATCGCTTAGGTTCCACCAGGATCTGGTAGTCCTCATAATTCTGCAGCCTCTATGTATCGTTAACTCGCACAACTCCGTAAGACCCTTGTGAGTTGGGCATGTGAAAATTTGCAGCCTTCCAGACATTGATTGGGTTAACGAGGTGTCGTACGTCACCTCAAGATCGGGTGACAGGGGGCTGACCAGGCCAGAACCCAATTGATTGGGTCTGAGGTCACGTGATTATGAGCCTGAGGGCACGTAACTGTGACGTCACCAGAGCTTGTTCTCCATTTCCCGCTAATTGGACCAGGTGAGCTTGCATGCTTGTGAATGTGGGTGTAAGTACAGCTGTACTGTAGTTTATATCTAATCACTCCCTATTATAGAAACCGTAAATTTATTTTCTGACAGAAGCTAGAAATTTACCAAAATATCGACATTGTTATAAACTTATTTTGATGACCATTACTAATAATATATAGCTAAGTTAGATGTCATAAATTCGTTAACTAGCTTGTGAGTATAGATAGATTAGGGAGCGACAGGCTCGTTAGTCAAAAAATAGCATCTACATTAATAATCTTAAGTATTAAGATCTAAACAGACTCTTCTTCATGATGTTGTTACACGAATTATGAATTAGGGATGAACTGGTTCATAGGATTAGGGTAATAAAAATTACTAGTTGGTTTGTGTGTAGATAGTAGCTCTGTGCGGCTTCTAGTGATAATAGAAAATTATTATAATTATTACGTAAGAATTATTATAAAAGTTATGTTTATATAGAAACAAGGAGTGTAACTTACATATTGAGGCACTTTTCTTGTACCTATCGAGATTGACTCGGACCGAAAATTTTCTAAATCGAAATTATTTTCAAAGTTTTTCTGGAAACTACTTTTGTTTATGTTTCATGCTTCCCTGAGCATTATGAGCCGAAAATACTTTTTCGGTCCGTACAGCTACATTCGAAAGGCTGTGGATGTGATAAGTTCAATATAATTATAAAGAACGTGATATTTTGCCCTCGGATTTAAAGGAGAATGCGCAAATTTGGTCCTCAGAGAACTGGAATAATCGCAATTTGTCGCGAAGATCTGTTTGTCTATCTCGGCAAACGTCAAAAATCGCGATTTGTCGCAGGGAGTGGGAAAATCGCGATTCTGCACGTGCCGCGATTTCCTTTTGATCTTGCCACTCCTGTCTCTTGATTGATGATTCATGCTTATGATGATCAGGAACACATCTGGTCCAATTAGCGGGAAACGAAGAACAAGCTCTGGTGACGTAACAGTTACGTGCCCTCAAGGCTCAGGCTCAAAATCACGTGACGTCTTACGGAGTTGTGCGAGATAACGATACATAGAGGCCGCAGAATTATGAGGACTAGATTGGCGGTGGAGATGCAAGACATTCTTGGCCTGGTAGCACTGTAGCTCGGAACCCAACCCAAGTAACCCAAGTAAGTAACTACCAGATCCTGGTGGAATCTAAGCGATCCATGATATCATGACAGGCCCCTAATCTAGCAACCAGCGGTTAGAAATTCCAGAACCTTTCAGTATAGTTTTAATTGTCCTGTTTACCACTCAGTTCTGGTCTAGCTTACAGGAAAATATATTGATATCTTACTGTCATGTTTCCGGTTCAGCAGCCAAATCTCTAGACCGGTACTCGGTTACTAGTCGTTTGTGATAATATAAAGTGTGGTATGTGGTAGATATTTAATATTTATACTTTTATAGAGCGTACTCTACAATCTAGATCTATAAGTATAAAACGGAGTAGTTATCACGAGTTATCACGATTGTCTTTTATCTCTCCACTAAGTCTACAATTCTGCTAACTCCTCTTAATATTGCTTCTGCGGAACAGTCCTGGCTTCTCAATACTACTTCTCTCCTTCCGCGGAACAAGTGGAACGAAAAATCTAGATTATAATCTGATCATAAGGTAAAACTGGTAGTTGGATAATATCCAGTTGGAAGAAACAAGGACAAATGAAACAGGAAGTTAGGAATGTAGGCACATTTTCGGCTTCAACGTCATCTTCAGGCTAAAATCGGTACATATGTTAGTATACAATTATAAATGGTTCTACACTAGTTAAAATGCTAAATTAAAATTACACACACTGAATACAGGTTTCATTAAGGGGTATTATATCTATATTAAATAATTATAATTCAGAGAATTATCTTTGTACGTACGATCAGATGAGAAATAGGAAGTTGCGTAGTTACCATGGTAACGAGGATTGTTACACGCAAGTGCACGTGCAATGATTGTTTTAACGTTATTTTGATCGGTTTTGTTGATATTACGCTGTTTTTAGTACGAGCAACATTTTAATTGGCTGTATCTTCGGTTGTGTAGGATATTTTATTGACGCGATTTAAACTTACTAACAAAAAATACTATCAATATTAGTTTCCCCCCTGGGACCACGGTTTTCTAGTCTATATTATAATTCAGAGAATTATCTTTGTACAATGTACACTGTACACTGTACGACCGCCCACGTGCAAATCAGACGAAAAATATGAACTTGCGTAGTAACCATGGTAACGAGGGTTATTACACACATGTGCACGTGCAAAGATTGTTAAAACGGCATTTTTATCAGTTTTGTTGATATTACGTTGTGTTTAGTGCGAGCAACATTTAAATTGGCTGTATGTTCGGTTGTGTAGGATATTTTTTGACGCGATTTAAACTTATTAACACTTTAACAAAAAATACTATTAGCTTCCTCCCTGTGACCACGGGTTTTCTAGTCTTACTTATAATTCAGAGAATTATCTTTATACGCACACTGTACGCTGTACGACCGCCCACGTGCAAATTAGGTAAACAGAATAAACAAATAGAAGTTGCATAGTAACCATAGTAACGAGGGTTTTTACATGCACGTGCACGTGTAAAGATTGGCGAACGGCATTTTTATCGGTTTTGTTACGTTGTGTTTAGTGGGAGCAATATTTTAATCCTTTAATCGGCTGTATCTTCGGTGGGGATGAATACTTTTTGAAGCTAATTAAACTGACTGCCAAAGAATACTATTAGTTCCTCCCTGCGACCACGGGTTTTCTAGTCTATATTATAATTCAGAGAATTATCTTGGTACCGGGTTTGTACACTGTACGACCGCCCACGTGCAAATTAGATGAAAAATAAGAAGTTACATAGTAACCATGGTAACGGTGTTAAAAGTGCACGTGCAATATTGTTAAAACGACATTTTGGTCGGTTTTGTGGTAATTTTCGTTGTGTTCAGTGCATTCTACATTTTAATGGGCTGTATACTTTGTTGTTGTGACAGATGTTTTTTGATGCGATAAAAATTGTCTACCAAAGAATACTATTAACCACGGGCTTTATAGTATTACATAAAATGGTGATGCAAAACCATCAATTCAACCACTTACCACCGACCGATTTAAAAAACCTTTACCATTTGGCTTCCTCATAAGCTCATAGTTTTGTAGGCACTATACCGAAAAAAACCAGCCCCGTAACTCTTACCGTTTTCTTGATTAAGCCGCTCGGAAATTACACACACACACACACACACACACACACACAGAAAACACACAAAAAACACACAAAAAACACACAGAAAACACACAGAAAACACACATTCTGGGATTATTAAGGTGATTGAGATAATACCATTTGATGAAACCTGTACTCAGTGTGGGTAATTTTAATTTAGCGTTTTTAAAGTTTTTACTAGAGTAGAACCATTTATAATTGTACACTAACATACCTATGTACCAATTTTAGCCTGAAGATGGCGTTGACGCCGAAAATTTGCCTACATTCCCAACTTCCTGTTTCATTTTTCCTTGTGTCTTTGAACAGGATATTAGCCAACTTCAGTATTTCAATCATGAGACTAGCTAACTACTCCATCATTTGATAAGGTAAATCACTTTGTCTATAAAAATAGACAAATTGAGCTCAAGAAAGACTCATCAGCAGTTGGAACTGTAGTACGTTTTTTTAATCAAGTAGATCAGAGCAGTTGGAATTTGTGTTACCTGGACAAATAGATTACCAGTCTGTAGGACTAGGACTATATATTATACGGATATTCATATACTGATACTGATATACTGATATAGTCCTACTCCTGCAGGCTGCAGGTAACCTAATTTTACAGGTAATAAACACATACCTTTGCTGTGACTCAAGGAAAATCACATACTACCTTTTGATTGTGGAATTCGATTAAAAGTTCCTTGAGATCCTTGCACCTCTTAATATTGCTTCTGTGGAACACTCCTGGCTTCTCAATACAAATAGAGCTCAAGATAAACACAGGCATCATTTCTATCAAGCAACTTCTCAAAGATGCTTCACACCCTCTCTCTTCTCGCTTTACTCTCCACCGCCTGGACTGCTTCGCTCACCTTGTACGAGCACGGCAACCGGGGTGGCAAGTCAACAACTCTGACTGGACCAACACCTTTTTTCGGAACGGAGTGGAACGATATCGTGTCGAGCCTAGTAGCAGACGGAGACTGGGAAATATTCACAAACGCGAACTACCAAGGGGATGGGTTCACTGTCCAAAGTGGTGTAGTCTACGACGATTTGAGTATTTACAACGACGATTTCTC